AGCTACCAGATATTTTATCAAACTGATGTTGCTGGAAACAGGAGGCCGTTTGGGACCTCTTTTGGTCAGTTTATTTCTTTAAAATCTTGGACCTACTAGCTTGCGATGTTTCATACAGTAGACAAAACTGTACCAGTGGTAGATGGATGATGTATTTTACGTATGCAGACACAAATTAGAAACAGTAAGTCTACTAAAGAGTGTTAACTCTTGTCATTACAAGTTGACAGAGGTACGAAAATGTGGAACATCAGATCCCAGCCTAGTAACTTAAGGTCAACGTGCTCATCACGAGATCAGACAATCCTAAGTTCGATTACTGTCGCGGTTGAGAGTGTGTGCTGGTAAACAGTACAATAATGAGATGGAAGCGATCTCCAGTACCCCAAAGTTCTCAATGCCTCTCCAATTGATGTCAGTCTGCAATGAGTACTTCTTTCGTTAGAGGATGACAAAAATGGTAAAACCAGGTTCTCTCCAGTGAAACGAATTGATAGATCTATCGAAAAGTCCATTCATAGAGAAGCATAATAGACAGGAGCTTTGGTTCATTCCACTACAAAAATAATATAGTTAGAATGCGTTTAGTAGGACCAAAATAATCTGTTCTGAAAGCATAGCTGATTCTGATATAAGGACCTACAAAATTATTCTAGTAAAAAACGCATACCTAGAAGGCTTTATGAACAAATATGTGAAATGGGTGGAGGACAAAGCAATTTTTCACAGCACCGGAAAGCCAGTTTATATCATTTCACTATGTAAAGTTGATGACGTGCTAGAGACAGTCACTCGAAGACTAGAAAAATCCACCAAACTTATTACACTGCAAAAACTCGTATTTTTTAGCACCACCAAAAGGGGACTAAAGAAACCAAGGGAAGACAGGGTTCCAATCGACGGAACTAGTAGAGACATATATCAGCTCATATATAACTGCGGAAGAAAATACATCCATCGTACGTGGAGGTGTGTGACTACCTGAATGATTGAGCATTTATGTAAATCGCTAAGGCGTGAAGGAAAGAAAACTCCCAAAACTATGACTACGAATCATCTAATGAACTATAGGCATGACATCAATACTTTGATTTTTGTAAGATTATCAGCAGACGTCAGAACACAATGTCTGAAAAAGCAGAAGCTTGTTCTTTCTGACCTGTCAAATCAAACACCTGTGGGTGGTAAGAAATTGTGAGTAGGATGAATCTACCTTGGTAGTAATTACCACGTCATTTAATCATACCTATTCTTTTCTACTTCTCTTTACCTATACTTATTATCTTTTTCTTATTTGTAGCTCTTGGTTTGTTTGGTCTAATTACCCTCACTCATATTATATATTGTTGTATTATTAACATATACGAGGTTGTGCTAAGCACTGCACCGTCACCAAACTTCTAAATTGACTAACAGTTATCATTTTGACTACCTGAGATAGCTTTGGTTTTGCAGACTAGTGTTTATACTGGCTGATGATTGGAGGTCTAATGAAAATTTGGACTGAGGCAGGATTCGAACCCAGTGGTCGCTGGTTTGAATCTGGCAGCGGTCCAGATTTTCATTTTACCTTCATTCATCATCCAGTTTAAATGACTATTAATTCCTATGTTTAGAATGGGATGATTTATTTTCAGCCTATAGAACTTTCACTCCAATGTCTCCATCATCATTATTTCATGCATGAATTCCCTATTATGTATTTGAAAAGAAAAAGAATAGTAATGGATGTAGGATAAAACGAACACATTTTATTTCGGTAGTAACTTGTCAAATGCTTACAATCTAGAACATCAAACTGCATAGTTTTACTGAGAATTCAAAATATACTTTAATTAACTGAAAGGAAACACAACATCGATCAGTGGTTAAGACGGACAGGAATAGTCATAGTGTAATGGTAAGTTAATGAGTAGTAATAAATTATAAATACAATTCAAGGGTAGTTTCTCGAACAAAAATTACGACAAGAGTAGAAATCCTAATACAAGTACTTAACATTATCACATTATGTAAGTAGGTCATACGATTAATAAGGCACTAAAACACAGAGGTAAAATATTTTGAGTTAAGCTTAATTAGTTAGAAACATCCTATGTGTGGAAAAAATGATGCAACGAAATAAAAGGGAAGAAATAAACATCTGAATTTCACAATGGATTACGTAATCCAGTGACAGTTAACAAAGGTAACCAAGGTAGATAGAGGTTGAACATATAAATCAGGTTTGAGGCATTTGATGGCTATGGTCTCAGCAAACTTCAGGAAAACTGAGGTTGTTTGTTTGTTTGTTTACTATCTTGAAAGAATTGAAGATGTCTGCTTGATGTTTAGTGTCAATCAGATGGTGAGTGATTGCACTGTTTAGAGTGTCACTTCTCCTCAGTTCTAGGCTATGCAGAATATGTTCATAAAATCTAAGATACACCCTTCCTTATGTTCTTCTAATGTATCTGCTTTGTCAGTACATGTTAATTGCGTAACATAGTTAGTGGTAACACAAGAAGAGTGCCTGTCGACTTCTGACTGGAGTAAAGAGAAAATTGTTTGGCTGAAGAAAACGTCCTGGCCGGTAATGTCTTCAATCGTCTGTTAGTAGCTCTGAACTGTCTGCACCTTTAAAATTGAGGAGAATGAATATTGGCTTCTTGCCGACCGTAACTTTCTTCAGCTATGTGTCTTACGTCTTCCCATGAATGTTTGTAAACATCCATTATCTCGTAGGCATGTTTCAACTGTTAACAACTCTTCCTCGCTTTGATCACTAGAATATATCATTTTAACTCAGTCAAACAGAGTTTTAGTTATTCCCCGCTTCTAGTTAGTGGGACAAAAGCCATTAATATTCAGGTACTTACCGTTCACCATGCTCTTTAGATGAATGAAAATTTAAAGCATGCCATCTGTCCTACGTTGTATGGCAACATCTAAAAACCAAACGTTTCATTATTTTCTTGTTCCATGATAAATTTAATGTTCTTAAGAATGTTATCGATAAAAAAGGCTGGTTTCAGCAAGAACCAAACATATGAGGATCAAATAGTAACGCTACGCTATACAGCATAGAACGCTGGTCAACTCTCTCTCTCTCTCTCAAATTCATCGATTTCCACAAGGCTAAGACAGCGTCAACACTACGGTTTGAGTGACACAAACCTTCATCAACCCCATTCAACAACACCCAAATGCTTGCTATATGCTGCTACATGCCAAGTGATTCACAATGCAAAGCTCACTGACGCCTTTGAAGTGAAGACTGGAAGCAGTAAAACAAGGCTGCCGCCTACTATCACCAATCATCTTCCTGATTGTGGTCGACCAGATCATGCAACAAACTGTGAAGAGCTGTGAGAAGATGGACATACGCTGGCTGTACCGATGAAAAGACTCCAGAAGGAGATTTGGGTTTCGCCACAGATGATGATTTATGTCTAATGTCTTGTCGCACAAACTCGAAGATCTACAGGCAAAAATCAATGAGTTGAGAGAAGAGGTGAGGCAGTGAAGATAGGACTTCTTTCAGGTGAATGTAGAGAAGACGGAGGTGATGAGGATACCCAACCACCACCACCACCAACAACAACAACGTCGACAACAACGACACCAAGAAGCACCAATCACCATGAATGGGAGAAGCCTAGAGGAAGCAGGTTCTCTCTCTCTCTCTCCCACCTACCTAGACAGCATCGTTTGACAAACAGGCGGCGGCGGCGACGACGACGACAAAGATGAGGACGTGAAAGCCAGGATGGGAAAAACAGAAAGACATACCTTCCTGCATTAATCTGAAATAATCAGTGTGGGGATCTACTACACCCCACTCCACTCCACTCAGCATGAGGCGTGAACAATATCCGGATTTTCAACACTAATTTAGTCAGGTAAGTCAGTGTTTCTATGTGATGGTTGAGAGATTTGACGGCGTGTTGCGAAAAGCATTTCCAACAAACTACAGACATACATCACATCAACAGCTGCCGTCTACGCTCACTCGATACTGACACTGAAGATCAGATGTCTAGAATAATGAGAATGAGTAACAAGTAACTCACTCCAGGTGGCTAGCTGGCTGGCTGGCTGGCTGGCTGGCTGGCTGGCTGGCTGGCTGGCTGGCTGGCTGGCTGGCTGGCTGGCTGGCTGGCTGGCTGGCTGGCTGGCTGGCAACAAACCAACCAAGAAGGTATCCTCCATCAAATATGCAGCAGAAGAAGAAAGTGGAGATGGATTGGATTGAATTGAGCATACACTGAGAGGGCCATTTGAGGACATCACGCATCAGTCTAGGGTTTTGAGTGTAAGTCGAAAGGGAAACGACGAGTTGGGCGTTGGAGGGGAGGGGAGGGGAGGGGAGTGTGACATGGAGGAGGTTGTGTGAGGAAGAAATGAAAGCATGTGGGCAGTGGTTGAGCCAGGCTGAAAAGACTGGAGAGAAGAGAGTGAAATGGAGACGTGCTGGTGAATCCCTATGTTCCACTAGGAACCCAGGGGACAAAGAACAATTATTATTTTTCTAAGGTTTCATTTGTGGCACGAAAGGCACGAAAGCTAGGTTCAGGGTTTGCTGCTGACTCACTCCATACAACTTAAACCCTTAATTTGGCTGTAAATATCCAAATAAGCTTTTCATACTTTGCTCAAATAACTCCTTAATGTTTACTGCCAAAAATACGGTTTTTCTGTTCATTTGGTAAGTTATTTAGTTTGTCTTTTGACTTGCCTCCTTTTTGTCAGCACTTACGGGTTAGGTAGAGAAAGTACTGACCAGAGTAGTACTCACCATATTTGGTAACAGTGGATATGTATTATACTGAATAACACAGTTAGGTTCTTATATTGCAATCAAATATAATACCCTCAGTCTGGAACGATTGGGAACACAACAAATGTTGACACTCATCATCTCAAGAGTACGGCGGTCTCAGCTTCTACAGAAATATCATCTATTGAATAAAGAATGGCCTATCGCCTAAAACAGTTAATACGCATAAAACTTCTGGATTATGGAGATGGTCTTATATGGAAAATATACTGAGGTCTCAAAAGTAAGTCAGATCTATCAGGCAAGGTGGTTATATTTGTGTACTTTCTTGTGTTTACAGTGTACACAAAAATACATTCATCCGACATCAGAATTCGTTCGCAGAATAAACAGCATTCGCTTATTATGTAATTGGATGATGACTGTAGATACAAGAAATTATGAGTTGCTGAAGGATTCTTATGAAGTCTTTTCAGTTGACAAACTAAAAGCAGTCAAACTGTTGGATCAGAATGTGTACAGAAACTGTTTATGACACAGAATTACTTCTATAAGGTTATTTCTTAATTTAAATGTCTCATGTCAAAGTTGTTTAGATTCAATGCAAAAAAATATATATAACCATTTATCTCAGATGTTTTCAACCAGAAATTGAAATATGCAGATGTAAAGATAAACATAGAAACATGTGAATATACAACTCAAGTTGATCCCTTGTTGATTTTTTTTCTGATTATTTCAAACGAAGAAAAATCATGAATAAATAAGAATTTTTAGCGTATCATTTAAAGCAATTTGTTGGTTTATTTTTACATCACTTATAAAAGTACTAACTTTTGTAGACGATTTATTTACACTGTATAACATGTGCACTGAAATAATATTCTTCTCATTTACGAATCTGTGTTAAGTAGAAACGTTTAACAGAATAAGATGAATTCATTTTATGTCGAGAATTAATGATATACTTCTGAGCACATAAGATAACAGAAATATTACTAAGCAGCGGTAGGAATGGCACCTGAATCAGTTCACTTAAAAGAGTGAACTTATAAGGTATGAAAATATTATCACTTCGTAGGTGACAATCAGTAAACAACGTTCACTTATTTAAAATATTGTTACCTTATCTAGGTGAAAACAAACTTGAAAGTTGATGAAAGAACAGATTTTTATTCGGCATCATATAAGAATAGTCTGAGTCAAATAGAATGAAGCTGGTTAAAGAAAAATAAATCAAGCTCCACAAAAGTTCGTCTCACGTAAAGCTGAAACAACGCATGATCTTCAAGACTGGAAACTGGTGACTGATCACCTTAAAATAGAGGTGTCTCCTTGATCATCTAACAGTTGTATCCTGGAAGAAGCCAAAAAGTCGGTTATAACAGACTGTAATTGGTATCTCATACAAGCCTTTTCAGCAGAAATTGATATAAGCTTGGAATTACAAGAGAGGAATGAATATCACCTTCGTTTTGTGCAGATTTTTTCGTTTAATTAGCATTCAGCTTTTGATTCTATGTTGGATCACATTTCCTCAGATAATGTATCACGTGTTTACTCTGTGAGGTTTGTATTTCGTTTCACTAACAAGGTTTATTGAGAGCTACCGATAAAATCTTTATATTCGGAGTTTTAAAAGCTTCAAGAACTCGGCCAGACGGTTAGTTATTTGGCAATGTTGTAATTTTCATTTAAGTAGTCATTGGAGATAGGAAACTGAGTCATAAGTCGACACTCAATGAGTTCATAAATGATGACTAATGTGCTCAGCAGTTGATTTTATTTCTTCAGAAGTCCACTGTTCTTTATCTTCGGATATTCCGTGAAACTATAACTTCTCCAAAATTATCTTAAGTATGCATTGCTAGAGTGTTTAAACATCTTTCTCATTGATAATATAAGCAGCACGAGCCAGAAATAAGTGAGGAACGTTGGAATAATTTATTTACCTACATGCTGAGATTTGTATAAATGTAACCTATAACTAAGGTCTTTTCATTCCTTTCCTGATATTTTTGATAATATACGGTCAAATCTTGGTCATAGTTCATATAAACTGAACATTTAGTTGGAAAATTTCTTTGTGAAATCCGAAGAAGCTTGGAAAGTAGGTAGTGACTCATGTGCATTAGTGTTACTTAACAATGGTAGTCTGACAATGAGCTTTCGTTTAATAAGTGAAAATCTGTTTTTAAGTGTACTTTAATGAAGCTTGTTCTAATTCCTGAATACATTCGAGATAATAAGTAAATCGAATTACTGGTAGCAGTGCCATCTGATTAATTAGAAGAGAAGTATTAGACGGGTAGTAAAATCTAGTTACGAGATTCCAGTTATACGAATAATTACAAGCCACAAAAGAGTACTAGTCGTTTGATGATGGTTAGCTTTGGCAGTATCATTCGCTTGACTTTTAAGGTTTTTCTACCAATGATACTCCAAACTTAACACACTGGATTCTGTAACTTGATAATATAAGAACTCATTTTTAAACTAATAGATTATGGGTTGGAAACCCATTCTGCCTACCTATTTGGATACCACATAATAGTCCTGGCATATGAATCAACCAAATGCATGTACGTGTACTTGGCTGTTGAATTACACACATTCAACTTGTATCAAACTGACTTCTTTTTTCACATTCAGAATGGTTAATTTCAACGGTTCATTAATTTATCTCCAGATAACGAAAACAAATGGTACTATATCACTCTTCTTCAAAGGATTATTTTACATATGCTTCTGATTACTTCATTCGAAAACATACACGTCAACTGAACGCAATGAATGAGATAGTGGTACTACTGGTAAGAAACTGGCAAACGTATTCTCCTACGAAGCACAATGAAAAGAGCTGACGCGATTGATTTGAATATATTTTTGACTGAAAGGAGAACCTTTTCGCATTTTAAATGCACAAGCCAGCTTGGAAGACTACTGATCTAAGGATTGGTATAACCCCGAACTACGGTAAAAAGCTTGCTAGTCAGAATGGTAGAAAAACCTGGGTACTTAAAGGATTCGATTTATAAAACAACTGGATGGCCACCATCATCTTGGGCTTGACATAGCGGTTTAAATCTCGAAAACTGCATCTTTCAGTACACATTTCTTGACAATGGATGACCATATGCACTGACATGACGCCAACTTCGCGTGGTGGTTTGACAGGCATGCTTCACAAAAACGAGACCGTTAGTAGTGTCTGCTTATTTCAATGGTAACATTTTTATGTATAAAACCTTCCCCAAACCCACATAGAAAGCATATACCGTTTCCCAGGAATGAACACTACCATGCGACAAAAATGTGCACACCGAGCTTGAGAACACCATTCCCATGGCGTTTTTGTATTGGAATAATTAATCCAGAAATCGTAAGTCCGGTACCACTCTTGTCATATCTGTGATAACTTATGTACAGTTGTTTTCTTTCCTATCCATTATAATTTAAAACGCGAACAATCTATATGCGTTCTACAGTGATTACTATCGACACTTCATATGCTGCATATTTCATCGTCTAACACCTATCGGTTTGCGTGCAAACTCGTTTGCTTGCATGGGAACCGGATCACCAACTTCCTCCCTTCCTTTTTCAAGTTCACTAGGTTCCTGACTGAAATACATACCTTCACGTTGGTCTCGTGGTTTAGGTTGTTTGGTGGACGAACTTCAACAACTGTTTGAGGCAAAGTACCTGTCTGATATTTCGTCTTTTCAAGAGGTAGAGTGTGCCAACAGAGAGCAGAAAGAAGATAGCAGTTCCTCTTGAGTTTGCTCATTTCTACTCCAGTATCACAACCCTGTGCTAGTGTTACGTCAATGTTGCCAAAATTCAAGTATGCTGTAGCATATTTGGCCTCCCCCTTAATCTTATCTCTGTTCATGCATCTATGTCCAGAATTACACCTTTTTCAGTTATAACGAGGTATACAAGTGGCCAATGCTGTTTACAATTTAGTCATACGACTCATCTTAATATACCTAGCTGTGCATATATATAGAAACTAGTTCGGTTATGGGGTTTTGTGGGTAAATGGTGAGCGTTTTTAAACCTACAGATGATCAAAATGACATTCCAAAACCTTTTTTTCAAAAGTAAATCGAATTCTTAAATGTTTAAATGCTATACTAGTAGGATCCGAGCCAATACAGTGGGAAGTTCCCATCGGTAATACAGTAGCCTCCTTTAATCCCAACGGTGTCAACGCCAGCTGTACATAGAAGTAACTTGTCTCTTCTAAGAGTACGCGCTGCAGTGAATAAATATATTGGTCGCGCAACATAGTTGACAGAGCCACATTGCGCCTACCAGAATGGCCTGAATACACGATAGAAATACCACTGAGCACGTCTTAATCCCTAGTTTTAAAACGGAGTATGAATGATCTGAGACCTACGCCACGAATGAAGAGTAAGTGCTTGCTTGACCAGTCACTGGAATAACAGTCTTATGTCTAATCCTGAGTGAATCCCACCAACCGTTTAGTTATCAAGCAAAGCAGTCGACCATCGTGGTGCACATTGATAGAAAGTAGTTGGGTAAGGGAAATCCATAGATAGCCATGGATTTAGTCCTTAGTTTTTGCCACTCATAATTAACTAATCTTTGTAACCACGACCGAATTAGTAAGAACTTTGGCAGGGGGGTTTAAACTAGTACCTTTTGAAGTGAATAAATCCATGCATGAAAATACTCCATGGGCACTCACACAACTGGAACTATTTTGAACTAGCTCAATGTAAATTTATACAAACGACGTCCTGTGTATTTCCTCAAAGCTTGTATAGTCTCCGGTGATATTTATTGCAGATATCTGAACTATGGAATGCCTCCATGCGAAACAACCGTACTTAGAGTTGTTACCAAGTTTGGCTCAGGCATACTCACATATCATGGTTTAGCACTAAACAACCAAAGGGACTCTCCACTGGCACAGAAAATAACTTACCACCAACTCGTTTACAGTGTGAAGCAGCTGTTAACCACCCTGGCAAAGAATATCGAATATATGAAATGAACTGAACGCCGCTGATGCGTTTCTCGCACAGAGACCACTAAAAATCCAACTTAAAACTAAAGGTACTTCGGTTTATAACCCGAATACTTCTGCTAACTATTTCAACTGACAGAAGAGCGGTGGACTCGTAACAGATTTAAAAACAATGCACATAACAAGTGGGGGTAAGCATGTAGAATGATGGAAGCAAACAGTAACAGAGAGTTTCGCCCTACTGTGATCCTGACATTTACCACTCGCCCATTTCTAACAACTGGCGGACTTATTGCTCCAAGTTCGGAAAAACCTAGGATCATGGGATAATCTTAATAGTGTGAAGGGACCACTGCTGACAATACGCTCCAATTTCGTCCCCTTACTCCAACCTAGATAAGATCACCAATATCTGTAGACGAACTAAATCAAGTCTTTGTTGACGCAGTAGCCATTCATATACGCTGACTACCCGAGTTAACAGTTACGTGTAAAACCACGTCACATGACCGGGTGCAAGTTGCGTAAGCCCAAACAAAAGATCCAGCTTTTAAACTTCACGTTTATTTATAACTCTGAAATTGAGTAGGTACCAACTGAGTAACATATACGTAATAAAGGATTGCCAACCAGTCAGTTCAGCGTGCGAATCCCACTATACAGCTGACTTTTCATCCACAGAAATAGCACCATTTTCATAATCGCCAGCACCACCCAACCCAGTCTATGGAAACAGTTACTAAAGCTAATGGCTTACTTCTTTACAGCGCTCGAAAACACCTCGGAGCATTCTCCGCTCTGTATCTTTGGCTTTCTTGACCACCTGTTCACAAAGCTGAAGCTGTTTTACTGCAGAGGAGTTACTAGGATTTCTCTTTACAACCATCTTGAAGTAGACAGCTGCTTCCTCATGGTCTCTACGTAATATGTGTGCCTAAAAATATGATGGTGTGGATTTAACGTACCTGACCCATTCTGAACAAAGCCTTTTCGTTACCAGGAGAAGTGTCAAGCACTTTCTTGCAGAACTCAATGCACTTATCTGGCTTTCCAAGTTTTAGATATGCCAAAGCTGAGTTCAGTCTGACGGCGGCAACAATTTCAGATAACTTAAGTTGGTCGGGACCACTCGCCACTATGTACTGCAGTTCGTCATCCAAACGTTTATACAACTCAATAGCTGGATCATATTTAGATTCCTGACATAAGCGTTAAGAAACGACCAAACCTTTAGGAAACTGTTAGCCTTTTCCTTCAATGTGTTGGCATATTCCATCTGCTCTGGGAAGGACGAAATGCCGGAGAGGTGTTTCGTCTTTAACAATTAGTTACATACTAGTTACCTTTTCAAAAGATTTCAGTGTCAGTTGATAAACCACCCGATTCTTGTTTGAATCCCCAGAGAGAATTGAGCTCTTGTCTTTGCAAAAGATAACTCGACTGAGTTCATCTGTGTTCATATGACGAATAGCCAGATCCAACTCTTCTGGTACTTCTGGGGTGGGATCACCCACACAGTAGGTAACCTCAACATCCTCTGTCATCTCTGTTAAATTACGAAAGAGAATTGTGGCCTCAGCGCCAGCAATGGGGTTGTGAATATCTATCCCTTTTCTGATAGTAGACTTCCGAACACTACCATCTTTGTTTTTACTGACATCAGAGCCTGTAAGTATTTCGACAGTCGGCCAAATGCACACTACCCAAAGTATCGAAGAGCTCCACCTCGAACTTTAGTGCTTTCCCATCCATGTATGCATACTCAGGGGCAGCAATCAACTCACAAACTTCTCCCAACTTCATTGTAGCAACACCGATGTCCCACGCCTTGATTACATCACCTACAGGAATAGCCTAGTCAACTATATGCTTACCCTTTCCAATAGTAAACTCGAACTTCTCATTTCGTTCTCTGCTAGAGTCGAAGACCTTGCCATTCTCATCACCACCGTAGTAGGTGCCGACGTAGTGTACTATTACGGTATCTCCGTCACATGGCTGGACTTCACAATTGCCCTCTCGTACGATCTTCTTGAGAACACCACGATCTCCTGATGGGCTTAAGTCCACAAATTCTTTAAGGTATTCATCTTCGACTTGTTGCTGACCATCTGCAGCACCAACATCACCCTTACTCATCCCGTGTCAAGTACGAGGATGCAATAAAAAACAAATTGGCGTTAGGCATTGGTTCAAACAAACAAACAAACTCAATGACTTTTATTCAATAAGTAAGTGATTAACTGTAGTTTTTAAATGTTCCTAAAAAGTTTTTAAGTGGAAAAAATGAAACGTTTGCCTTAAAACCTGAAAATATTTACACTGGATAAAATGCTGTCAGCTTTACGACTTTCAATCGTGCAAGCAGACATAATGTATCCCCCGTAGAGGGTTTGCACTCTGATATGTTACATAGCGAACAGCTGCAATGGAAACTGAATGCACTGGATCTTCTTATTCCCTCAGAGGTAAGTCGACACTGTTTTAGTTCTACTTGTGCAACCCAACAAATTCACTTTTACGAATTCGACCATCTCAAAGCTTTTATCGGGTGTTTTGAATTACTGTTCGAGATTGCATTGTGTGCTACGAATCGAAGCTACTCTTCTCCCGAATCTAGACATGCATTCCATGAAAATATTTAAGGCCATCTGGGTAATCTTTCACAAAACTATCATTGGCGCTGCCTGAGCGACTACTTGTGAGTTGTGCTCACAGTGGACTCACTACTTTCCTGATCATAGCCAGCCTTATGGGTATCACAATACTGAAAATTTATATAAACTACGATCAAGATCTGATCGTATAGTATGGCAAATATTGGGCGTTGAGTAGGAGGTTGACAGCAGATGTGGAATTGTGTTTGTGTAAATCACGTCGGGTTTGAAATCAGATAATTCCAACGTTTCGCAAGGAAGTCTGGTCCGAGCTTCTTCCCTGAAGGAGAAACGTCGGAGTTATTTGATTTCAAACCCGATGTGATTTACACAAACACAATTCCATATCTAATGTTGACACTGAAAAGCTTGTTCAGTGGTGTTTAGTATATATGTCAACGTTTCAGGACCACTAAGAACAGGCAGTCGGTGAACACTAGACTCCCACTCAATCAGCTTTTCAGTAGACTTCGATTTTCCTGCTTAGCCACTCTTTCATCTGTTTGTTGTGACTGCAGAAATTGATCTTCATTTATTAGCCCAAGGCTGGAGCCATAACAATGGAGATCTTTCAGCGAATTTTACTTATTTTTACTTATAGGATCCAGTGGGACCAAGACAGGAATATCAAAGTGGACTGTGAACATTTAATTTCACGTGATAAACCATTTGAGTCGGTCATTTCGCTCTTCTGTCGATTGTATGTAGACATTGGCTCCTCAGTCTTAAATATTCACCGCTTCATTGTTCGGCATTTACCGTGCTTATTTCAGGTGGGCTTAATAAGAGATGGGATCACAGCCTAGTAGATGTGACTTTTATCATCGAACACCTGGGGCTTACGTACAAACTGGTTTCAAGAACACCCCTAAAAAGTGCAGTGCAGAGGGCTGCAGCCCTGAAGTTATCAATTCTTTATTTCTTGCAAATGTCTTCCAAAACTGAGATGCTTGATCCCAGCATGTTATACCTTTAGAGCTCATCAAGTCTTTAGGACTCTAGGAATGGTAAGATAAGCAGTTATTACCCAGGGGGAGAAAGTCACCTGAAAGAATATTAAAACGATCTTCTCTGGTCGGTGAGTGCCTAATGGCAAGACGGTTGGGAGATGAACAAGTGTTTCTCCATACTGTGTCTCAGAACCAAGGAATCTGTTCCGATCCCAGAAAAAGCCGGTTTTGGGATCTATTGCTTCTAATCCTGTTTCCTAATCGTCCAAAAACGTGAAAAGCGGGTTCATGGAAAAATGCTAACACTTATTAACTGACTCAACCTACTGCTATAAATTTTCATCTTCTTACCGCCGTTTGCTGTACATATGTGTTAGTGTGCGAGGCTATGAATAGGGGTCAAGTAGGATCGTCCTGGTGTACAGGCTGTCTGCACTACTTATGAACAGGACGTAACTTCTCTTTTCCACCGTGTTCAAGGAGACGTTGTTCGATTCTGTTGCATCTGGTTGCTATCTGCCTCATAGGAAAACGCTGAACCTCCTGACCGTGTACATATCTCTCTCCTAGTTCTGCAAACCTCAGACCACGGGCAACATAAAGAGGCACTGAATCTGTCTTCCAAATGTTGAAGTTTGCCAGGCCTATCTCGACTTCAGAGTAATAGAAAACAGGACAGTGTCTCCCACCAATCTAAAAATACATGAAAGCTAGCAAGGAAAGTTGTCGTTATTGCCTAACTCACGACTCTGTTGAAGTTAACTGATACGTAATACCTGTCCATATGCAACTCGTTAATTGTTTGTCTAACGTAAAAGCATTTTATATATTTATAACACTTCTTGCTTGCTTTTCCGAGGATTAAATCGAGTGTCAGCAGCCCCCTTAGAAATAAGGGTATTGGCGCGAAAAGGCCAAGGTTATCTGATCTGTCGTCTAAGGTTAAGAGTCTCGCCAGCGATTGCGGTCCGTCACTGAAGTTACCCGATCTTATGACTGACGTCTACAGCGATGTTAATAAAACGAAGTCTGATATTCTGGAAATCTTGAAAGCAGCTGGGAATATGCAGTGTAAAATGGAATATCTCCTCCCATCGATGGATTTGTTAGACCCCAAAAGCGACTCCACACTTGATACTTTAATGAAACGCGAGAGATCAGTTGACTTTGTAGCCAGTGAGGTAAGCGGCCGAATGAGATCCTCTTACAATTCAGTAGTCTTCAATATCCCTGATAATTCCCCACTAGGGCGGATTAAAACTGATTGTTTTTATGTGGCTTGGCCGACTCAGCTTGTGTTGTTCGTCGCCTGAAGAAAAGAACAGTCAGATGCTCGTGTTCTGTTGCATCTCAGTTTAACTTGCCGTGCATTGCAAGACACTTCTTTGACTTTCAGAGAATTATAGCATCCACAACACCATATGCCAAGATCAAGTATTTGCTGACTTAACTACTTGTCAGCGTCGCACACGGAAATTCCGTAGCGTGAGATACCGAACGTGGTCAGCAGTCAACGGGTTGTTAGGGTGAAAAGCTGACTGGAACTTCACCAATCTTCACCTCTCCCCATTTACCACCGAAAAACTTATAAATGCAGCAATGGGCATAAGAAATCCAGACTCCATACCACCATCATGCATAGATATAATATCCACAGACCTAGATGATAGCATAAATCCTAATGATGTACGACAACGGTACCACAGCAGTCAATCCGCTCATATCGCGCAGACAGACTAGTCTGTGCTACCCATCCCTTCAGCTCCGCCACTAAGTGCAGTATCACCAAGCGAAACGTCATTGGGACCCAAGTGTTTTAATAACAAATGGTACTATCCAAAGAAATTACTAAACTGTGGTCACCTTGTGCCACCTAGCCCCATGAACCTGTCTTAAGTTGGTGCATTTCCATACAACAGCACTCCTTGCCCGGTACCACGAAGCAAGAAGATCTCGGCTAATCAAAATACGGTTCGGCCGTTCAGTTGTGAGAGCATAAGCAAGGGATACTAACACAGACAGCCCAAGCTACCCAAAGTGGGGAAATAGTTTCAACAAATACCGATAGGCTTTTCTCGTCACATCCTATTGTCCATTTTCTGTCTACCCAAGAACATAACTCCAGCGCACGGCCAACGTACTTTGGTCCACAACCCAACGTGAATAAACCTAAAACTATCCATTTGAGCGCTCAGAGTAAGGGTCCTAATACCTACCTTGGCAATGACATAAAAGCAAGAGTAAGTAACACGTATCCAGCGTTCTATGAAGAATCTACGCCATGGAAAATCCATCTTTTCACGGGCTTCGCAAAATAATAGCGCCTCTGATTATGCAAATGATGGCATACTCGGGTCAACCGCTACATCTAACAGCCAGTTCAGCGGCAGAAATACTCTAGTGACACCCTCCTATCTCCCAGGCCAACAAATGATCGGTCGCCATCTGAGACAACAGTGGGCAGTCCGGCATGCAACGCCAAAAAACTCGCCTATATCCCGAAATTTCCCATCCCACATCCCGTTGACTTAAACGATGACCATGAAAGAAAACTTCTATCTGATCTTGTTAATGACCCAACCCTTCTCATAGCACCACCAGAGTTCTCTGTTCCTCCGTCCAGCTCACGTTCAATTTGCAATGCGCCAAATCATCTTAAATTTCTAGCTTACTTGATCAAACCATATCTCATTCTAATTACTAAAACTTGGTGTACGACATGCCTCTAACCACAGGCTCACGTTAGGAAACTGCAATTTGCATTGCAATGACCGCAGTGCTTCCAAAGGTGGAGGTTGCATTGTCTATGTTCGCTCCGATTTTTCATCTTCCGGTGCCTTCCCGTTCGGTTGGGACCTCCTAGATGATGCAGTATTCGCGAATATTAACGCTCACTGATATTACAAAATTACCGTTGGTTGCCTCTGTAGGTCACCTTAAGCTGGACCTGCCGTTGACAAACATATGAAAGAGATGTTCGAGCTGTTGTCATCCCTGCCAACTCGTACAGCAGTAGACAGTGATTTTAATATGTTAGTCATAATACGGGAGACACTGCAAGGTCCACCTTGTCCCAAACCACTTTTCAGACCGTAAAAACCAGTGGATGGGTTCAGGTCGTTAATAGGGGTACTCGACTAGATAGTTTACTTCATCTGAATTTTCCAGGCAACGTACCACCTTCCACCACATATACTAGCAGCGAATTCCCGAGGGGTGACCGCAAGGTTGTGACCTGTCAAATATTTGTACCATATAGGCGAACGCCTACAATACTGAGACCTACAACGCTCGGTCGTAGAAGTTCCGTTGACATCAGCTGGCCATACTGACAACATTTACTATGCTGTCTAGACTGAGACGACTTCCTTTCGAAGCTCATGGATTTTCCAGCATTCTTAGCATTTTTGCAGTTTTCAGTGACCTGGAAGTTCACAGACGGAAAGGTGAAATGTCTACCGAGAATAAAATTGTATGACACACGAATAAAACTGGTCTCCTTGCCACTTCTCTTAGAAAGAAGCATTGTAGTGTACCTGATATCCTGAATGTGTTGAAAGTAGGCGACAAGATTGGTGCAGACCCCACACAGATG